TTATTTCTACAAAAAAACAGCCAGTAGTAATTGGATACTGTAGATCATTCAGGTAGTCTTGACCTGTTCATTTGTACTGAAAAAACAGACACATATACGAATATCAATTATATGCTTACGAGACATGTTGCAATGTTAAACTTATTACGGTATGTGAAAATCAAGACTTGCATAAAAAATATCACAATATTAGAGACAGTGGCGTCATTTTTCCTCAGAGCTTTCAGCTCTTTGATTGAAAATTGCTGATGAGACAATGGTTTAGGAAAAAACATCAAAGCTGTGATTAAATACATATTTGAAATAATACACATCTACAACCTATTTGAAATAATTCACATCTACCGTTGCAATGAATTTTATACATAGGAAAATATAGAATAGGGGAAGAAGCCCATTGATTTTGGGGTCAAAACATCACAGGTTGAGGTCCATCTTACTAAAGTATCATTTGTTTTTGTCGAGCCTGCGACTTTTGTCGCAGACAAGCTCGACATAGGGATAGTGATCCGGCGGCGGCAGCTACAGCGTTAGCTAATTTCTTAAAAGCTTTATATTTTAGAAGGTGGAAGACCTGGATGCTTCATACTTTGTATATAGATGCCTTATGTTACGAAGTTTCAATCTGTCACATGTCCATTGTCCTTGACCTCATTTTCATGGTTCAATGACTACTTGAAAAAAAAAGTTAAGATTTTTTGTAATGTTAATTTCTCTCTTATTATGAGTAGTAGGATAACTATATTTGGTATGTGCGTACCTTGCAAGGTCCTCATGCCCGTCAGACAGTTTTCACTTGACCTCGACCTCGTTTCATGGATCAGCGAACAAGGTTAAGTTTTGGTGGTCAAGTCCATATCTCAGATACTAGAAGCAATAGGTCTAGCATATTGGGTGTATGGAAGGACTGTAAGGTGTACATGTCCAACTGGCAGGTGTCATCTGACCTTGACCTCATTTTCATGGTTCAGTGGTTATAGTTAAGTTTTTGTGTTTTGGTCCGTTTTTCATTTACTGTATGCAATAGGTCTACTAATGTTTGGTGTATGGAATGATTGTAAGGTGTACATGTTTAGCTGGCAGGTGTCTTCTGACCTTGACCTCATTTTCATGGTTCAGTGGTTAAAGTTAAGTTTTTGAGTTTTGGTCTTTTTTTCTAATACTATATGCAATAGGTCATCTATATTTGGTGTATGGAAATATTTTATGATGTACATGTCAGTCTTGCAGGTTTTATTTGACCTTGACCTCATTTTCACGGTTCATTGCTCAGCATTAAGTTTTTGTGTTTTGGTCTGTTTTTCTAATACTATAAGCAATAGGTCAACTATATTTGTTGTATGGAAGGATTGCAAGCTGTACATGTCTGCCTGGCATGGTTCATCTGACCTTGACCTCATTTTCATGGTTCATTGGTCAATGTTTAGTTTTCTTGGTTAAGTCTGTATCTTAGAAACTATAAACAATAGGTCAATTATATTTAGTGAATTGAATGATTGTAAGATGTACATGTATTTCTTGTTTGGTTTATATGACCTTGACCTCATTTTCTTGGATCATGTTAAGTGTATGTGATAGTTGTAGTAAAGTTTTATATTTAGGACTATCAACATAATATCAATGATTAGTGAAGAAGGCGAGACATTTCAGCGTGTGCACTCTTGTTGAAGTTGGTTTTGGAAAGGTATCCTACTGTGAATTGTATCACATTTATACAGGTGATAAATTTGCAATAATGATCCATGTTTATTTGTCCTCCAAGCATGCTAGTAATTTGAACCCTTTAACAATTGTTTTCTTTCAATAAATGTGCAGTTTGGGGAGCATAATTGTAGTGCCAGCATTTTACTTGTGTATTTTCTGTTTAAAACAACTATATGATTTAGTAAACAGAGGTTGAAGATACTAAATTAATATAGCCAAAAAGAAAAATGAAGAAAACACAACACAGACAACTACAGATCGATCTAAATGAACCTCATGAAAAACCAGGGTTGAACTTTATATAAAAATAAGGAAGTTGTATGCTTGCATAAATCCACTAGAGCCCAAATTATGCTGATGTAAGCAACTATAGGTGATTGTACAGCCTTCAACAATGAACAAAACCCATCTGGTGTAGTCAGCTATAGAACAAACGAAAACAGCAAACAACTAAGTATTTCCAAATTTCTTGCAATGTAAAAATGAGTTGTTTTGATGCTAACAACCAAGACAATAGATATGTTGATTAATTTTCTGCAACTTGATTTTTATTGAGCCTGTGACATTTATGTCGCGAAAGTGAGACAAAGCGATCCTAGATTTCGTCCTAGGCGTTGGCAGCATATACGTTTAGGTTCAGTCTGTGGTTAAAGTTTTTTTTAGACATCAATAACTTTGTCAAACCTTCATGGAATTTTAGGAAATTTGGAGAGAAGCTTGTTTATGACCAAAATACAGTATCCAGAGCAAAATTGTAAAAATATTTTTTTTCATTTTTAGCTTACTTGGCCTAAAAAGCCAAGTTAGCTTTTATCGTCACTTGGGGTCTGTTGTCCATCGTTGTCCGTTAACTTTTACAAAAATCTTCTCCTCTGAAACTACTGGGCCAAATTTAACCAAACTTGGCCACAATCATAACTAGGGTATCTAGTTTAAAAATGTGTCCGATGACCCTGCTTGCCAACCAACATGGCCGCCATGGCTAAAATTAGAACATAGTGGTAAAATGTAGGTTTTGGCTTATATCTCTGAAACCAAAGCATTTAGAGCAAATCTGACATGGGGGTAAAATTGTTCATCAGGTCTAGATCTATCTGCCCTGAAATTTTTAGACGAATCAGACAACCCGTTGTTAGGTTGCTGCTGCTGAATTGGTAATTTTAAGAAAATTTTGCAGTTTTTGGTTATTATCTTGAATATTATTATAGATAGAGATAAACTGTAAACAGCAATAATGTTCAGCAAAGTAAGATCTACAAATAAGTCAACTGACCAAAATTGTCAATTGACTGCCCTTTAAAGTAATTTTTTTTGTAAATTTTTATAATCTTTTACAAAAATCTTCTCCTCTGAAACTACTGAGACAAATTTAACCAAACTTGGCCACAATCATCATAATGGTATCTAGTTTAAAAAAATGTGTCCGATGACCTCGCCTGCCAACTAACATAGCCGACATGGCTAAATAAACTCATCATAGATACCAGGATTGAAATTTTGTATTTGTGCCAGATGCGCGTCATCAGTGATGCTTGAATCAAAAAAAGTTAAAAAGGCCAAATAAAGCCTTAGTATTTCAAAAATGTAAAGAAAATAGGGGTAAAATGCAGTTTTTGGCTTATATCTCTGACTCTGAAGCATTTAGAGCAAATCTGACATGGGGTCTTAGGCCACAGACCACAATTAAATTCCTCTATTAGTTCCTTATAACATGTATAATGTTTTGTTTCATTAAAAAAAATGCACCATGCATTTTTGTCAAATCTTTTGTGTGTGTAATGAATAGTACTAGTCCAAAAATATATTCAAAATTCAGAAAGATTGAACCAATCACTCTTACAAATTTAGCCAATACACATCCATACCCCTATGGACAAGTCAAGAGATGTTCCGAAAAATGTAAATATCACCTTTTTGCACCTGGCCTAATCACTCTTTCCATATCAAAATCAGTTAAAATAAAACATCCAAAAGTTTATTTCACCTCTCTTCTTTCATTTCCACCCAAAAAAAACTAAGAAATGAGTGAGGAAGGGAAAGAAAAAAAATTAAGAAAAAATACACTCTAATTAAAAGGAACTATATCCGTGGACAACGAAAAGCAGGGTCATTAATTGTGGTCTTGGGCCTATAAATGTTCATCAGGTTAAGATCTATCTGCTCTGAAATTGTCAGACAAATCAGACAACCCGTTGTTGGGTTGCTGCCCCTGAATTGGTAATTTTAAGGAAATTTTGCAGTTTTTTGGTTATTATCTTAAATATTATTATATATAGAGATAAACTGTAAATAGCAATAATGTTCAGCAAATTACGATCTACAAATAAGACAATATGACCAAAATTGTCAATTGATCCCTTAAGGAGTTATTGCCCTTTATAGTCAATTTTTAACAATTTTTCTTAAATTTTGTAATCTTTTACAAAAATCTTCTCCACTTAATCTACGGGGCCAAATAGAATTAAACTTAGCCACATTTTTCAATAGGGTATCTTGATTGAAAAATATATCTGATGACCCTGCTTTCCAACCAACATGGCCACCATGGCTAAAAATAGAACATAGGGGTTTACTATAGAAGTCTATGGGAAAATTGTAAAAAAACAATTTCAAATGGTCATGCACAACTTGAAAACTAATTTAGATAATGATAAGGGGTCTTCAGTAACTATTGTAAGACTACAATGGGATGACCTGCTTTTAATTTAACTACCGGGCCAAATTAAACCAAACTTGGCCTCAATCATTATTAGGGTATCTAATACTATTTATTATGATTTTAACCTTATTTTACATGATTTCCAAAACCACAGTAGATACAGGTGAGCGACACAGGCTCTTGAGAGCCTCTAGTTCCGTTTTTACTGATAAATTGACTTTAGTTTTTTTTTACGGTTAACCTTCAGATTTAGTCTGAGGTTAAAGATTTTCAGTCATCAATAACTTTGTCAAACCCATCGTTCATGGAATTTTCGTAAATTTGGACAGAAGCTTGTTCTTTTATTTGTCTTTATTAATATTACTTTTACTGTTGAGTCTGTTTTTTTAGATATCCATTTGATGTGACTCTATACTTATGTATCCTGTCATACTTTGAACGACAAAATTATTTTATTTATCAATATTACTTTTACTGTTAAGTCTGTTTTTTGTGATATACATTTGACGTGACTCTGTACTTGTGTATCCTGTCAGACTTTGAACAACACAATTATGTTAGAGTCATCCTATGACAAATGGAGCTCTAATGGAAATTGATTGTGAACTCTTTTTTATACACATTTTAATTATTTCAGTTATGTTTTGGTGGTTTCGGAATGCCTACATCGATGATGATGCAATGTCAATCAGCTTCCTTGTCCTTCAAGGTAATACATAAACCATTTCTTGTTAATATATGTTAGAACAAGTAAAAGTTTGTCAAAATCATTTACATTTTTCAAATAGATTTTTAGATCAAAAAAGGCAATTTTGGATACACATCAATGGGCCAGCAAACCAACAACACTGGTCAACATATGGTATTCAACAATAAGATAAATAAAACAGAAACATTTGACAGCAAAAAGGTTTTATTAGATAATGTGGACTTTTTTATTATTTGTGCGATGCCAATTTTCATGGATCTTGTGGGTATTGTTGAACCACAAAATTAAATGTTCATTTTAGTACAAATTTTCTATAGGCTTGAATGTAGGCTGGCAAAACCGTGAAATCAATTATCCACAAAAACACAATTTTCCTCAATCAAAGAAAATTGGTACCCACGATTATTAATGAATCCACAGCAAGGTCAGGGTCAAGGGTCAAGTGATCTTTTCTCATGGCTTGATGTCCATAGTCTGTCGTGGTTTGTAACATTTTATGAAATCTTCTCTTCTGTAATGAATAGGCAAATTGGAACCAAACTTAGCCACAATCATCGTTGAAGAATGCTAAGCCCTTGACATAGGTACCTATGAGAAACTCTGGAGCCCTCTTATGTGAACATATCTGAAACACTCAACCTAAGGGTTGTCAGTTGTCTCTCTGAACTGAGACTGGATTCTTGTTTTGCCAATGCCCACCTCACCAACATCTCCTGTGAATGACTATCTCTTGGGGTCACAGCATACTATCATCCCTCTCAATGGGTATGCAATGTATCTTGGTAGGGTACGAACACGGGACATGTTCCATATAATTAGATTATCCTCTATAACCTGGTTTACTCTATGCCTTGTTACTTGTCTTAGTGAAGCTAGAGTACTTTTACTTTTACTGTATCTTTACTCTCCCTCAAAATTCAGCACTCCACTTGGTAGTGCCAATTCAGTACATCAATTAGAACCAAAGGTTACGCTTAAGTTGGCAATGGCTTCCAAGTTCTCCTGGCACAAACCCCTTTTTCTCTTTGATGCCAATAATTTCTGGAATCCATGTGAATATTGTTATATTTGATTTCAAACAACCAAAGTTATTCAGACTCCTTAGAACCTTGAGTTGTGTATTTTGTTGTTATTTAGGTGAACTGGTAATTTTAATGTTCAACAAACGTCAACTTTACTATTGGCTTGTATGCAGAATTTGTCAGAACCTTTTATATCAAGTGTATAACAAAATACAATTTTAGGAATCCACGAAAATAAATGAATCCACATATAACCCTTTCACTGAAGTAATTTGTTTAAGTATAATCTTACTTAAATATTAAATTGCAAATTTATAAAAAAAAATCCACTTCATAAGAATTGTCATGGTTCCTGGGAGTTGTCTTGGTCCATATGAAGTTAAAAGTATTATAATTAATATGTTAGTATAAGAAGAATAACTGAATTAGAAACTTCAAAACCAAACTCTAAAACAGAATATAATAATACAATTTACTAAGACTAGAAATACTAGAAAATGGTGTCCATCAAAACAAACAGACCATCTAGAATATATACTTCGACCCTCTAAAGAATTGAGAACTAATCAATGCCAATAAAACCTCATTCACACACCTGATAAAGTCACACCTTAGCGAACCAGAATTTCACACTCAGTATGGTTGAACCATCCTTGTAAGCAGCAACCTCTATCAATGAAATCATAATAGGAAATGCAAGGTCTGTAATATCATATCATACACTTTCACTAGCTATGAGCTAAACTGTTTTACCAGTTGGTCAGTTTGCAGAGATGAATTTAATCTGCAATTTTGGAATAACATTTTAGCAGTTAGTATTGTGAAAAGGCAAAGCCTTCAGGATAAGCACAGTAATTAAGACCTTGATATCATGTTAACAAGCCATAAAGGAAGTGGTCAAGTATATGTATATATAAGACAGCAAATCAATGACACATGTCACCAAAAATCATCTAGAGGTCAACATACAACCTTCACTGATAAACAGATGTCTATAAAGTATGTTTGTTTCTCGGTAAGAATGTATTCAAGTAAAAAATATTCCATTCATGACATTTTCATATAGCCACGGGAGGGTCTCTTACTATATAAAAGTATACACAGACGTGCTGCTGGAATTGGTCACTTTTTTTAATGTCAAATATAATCAAGTGCTATTTTCTAGTAGGTAATATACCAATAGGTAGACATTTATGTCAATGGGTCATAAAGGTTTACCTTCTGTTAATTATAAGATATCTGTTAAAATTTTGTTCTCATCTATTTATCTAATTTTATGAATGATCCCATCAGGATAACGTCTAAATAAGATGTCAAGATAGATGGGAAATATTTATAATTGGGTTGTGATTTTCCTATGAAATATATGAATGGGTAGGGATTTTTGCATAAATCAATATATGAATGGGTGTGGTTTTCAAACCACAGCCTGACGTCTGTACATAAATTTGTATGTTGAGACCCCCTCCCCTCCCCCCCTGTGGATATACCAATGTACTTATTTTGATGTTTTAGTGTTTTAGATTAGGTCTGTATTTGTTAAAAAAATCGTATACACTGGTTACAATTCAGCAATAATTAATCTTCACTTTACAATGATTCAGATAGTGGCAATATTTAGAGTTGATTTTTGATAATAAATTTATATAACAATAGGAGTATTTCTTTCAGAATTTAAAAACATATGATAAGATTAAGTGTTAGTCAAAGTATATTTAAATTTAAACACTTTGCTTGCAGCCAAAAAAGGGTGCATCCTTTGGAATGCCAAGTATATTTAAACGAAAAAAAAGTAAGTATGAAGTAAACCATAACAAGTTAGGACCATGTACATGCTATTGATCTTTTGATAAGAACAAATGACTTCTCCTTTCTAGAGAGAACATGGACGTCTTTAATTGTCATTTTGGTTGCATTGATATTTTCATGGCAAGAGTGGAATATTTATCTAATGAGATGTAGAAAATATACAATGTATACTATTTATCCAGCATTAAAATTGAGAATGGAAATGGGGAATGTATATATATATATATATATATATTAGTATATATTATAAAAAGCTATTTTTTTGACAGTATATAAAAGAATTTTCTTTCATTTTAAATCTGTTAAAATCCTCAAATAGGTGCTTTGTATAATTATAATGAAATGATCATTTGTGATATTTTAAATCAATTATTGCTTGCTTAAAGTCCAGTGGCAATATTTCATGCATATTCAGGTCAAAAACAAGTTAACAATTAATAAAAAAGGGAAGTTCTACAAAAGGTCGACCAGGATGAAGGTAGGAAATTTGGAATGCCACTGGACAATGAGGGATTGTTGGATAGGACCAGAAAGGATGCTGTGGAACAGGCAACCTACAGACCCTTCAAAGAGTTATCACAATGTTCTTTAACATGCAGAGAGCGTGGCACTCTCCCTACACAAGGCATCAAATTTAGCACTCCCATTTTTACCTAGCATGGATGAGTATTTATACATCCAGCACAGCCAAATAGACGCCCTACTTTAGCCATGGTTTACTGCTGGACAGAAGAAGCTAAGGGATTACCAAATTCTTTATTCCAGTCAGCCCTTGATGAGGAATGATTGATTGATTGTTGGTGTTAAATGCCACTTAAAGCACTTTTGGCTATATCATGGCGGTTAGTTTTTATTGGTAAAGGAAACCCTTGTATCTAGAAAGAACCTTATGCAGGAAAATAAAGGAGATGTGGTAAGATTGCCAATAATGACAATATTATAAAAGTTCAAATAAAGTAGATGTTGAAGGCTGTACTTTGACCTATAATTGTTAACTTTTTATACATTGTGACTTGGATGGAGAATTGTTTCATTGGCACTCATACCACATCTGCTTATTCATATAGATGTAAGCAATTATATATAGGCATCCATACAGCCTTCAAAAATGAGAAAAACCCATACCGTATAATCGAATATAAATGGCCCAGACATGAAAAATATGAAACAATTCAATTGAGAAAACTAATGGCCTAGTTTAAAACAAAATAATTTACTAAAAACAAATATGACAGACATGATTCAATGACAATTTGTTATTTATTAAATTTTAATACAATGCTTTAAATGGAAGCTTCCATTTATATTTTAAATTTATTGTCTTTAAAAGCATTATCAGAATTCATTTGCCAAAAATAAGGCAATTTTGTTTGTGTATTAAAAAAAAAACCCAGCTCTATTCAGTTTTCAGATAACATTTGTTTATGAAGAAGTAATTGTGAAAAAGTTTTGATATATGGCTTATTGTTGTATGATATTAGCATCCATACATTTAAGTTGTAAGCTATATGATCAAATTTCCAAGTTCTGTGATTTTGACGTTTAAGGAAGAAGTGCTTAAAATATATCATTAATATCTGAAATGTGCATGCTCTTTTGATTTCAATCTCAATATGAGGCTTCCCCTCTTTGTCATGCATGCTTTAGTGATTTTGAAAGTTTTATTTTGTTTCTTATAAGGTGCCGTTATGAACAAGTGTTTATATATAATAAACCAGGATACTTATCTGAGACCATATGTGTGAAGGTTTATTTACTTTGACTGTACACATGGAAGTTATACTTTGACCTCTTGTGAATGAAACTGATCTAAGACCATATGTGTTAAGGTTAATTACTTTGACAGTATATGAGGGAACTATTGGACTTTGACCTCTTGTGAATGATACTTATCTGATACATATGTGTGGAGGTTTATTACTTTGACAGTATATGAGAGAGTTATTGGACTTTGACACCTTGTGAATGATACTTATCTGAGACATATGTGTGAAGGTTTATTACTTTGACAGTATATGAGGGAACTTTTGGACTTTGACCCCTTGTGAATGATACTTATCTGAGACATATGTGTGGAGGTTTATTACTTTGACAGTATATGAGGGAACTATTGGACTTTGACCCCTTGTGAATGATACTTATCTGAGACGTATGTGTGGAGGTTTATTACTTTGACAGTATATGAGGGAATTTTGGACTTTGACCCCTTGTGAATGATACTGATCTGAGACCATATGTGTGGAGGCTTATTACTTTGACAGTATATGAGAGAGTTATTGGACTTTGACCCCTTGTGAATGATACTTATCTGAGACATATGTGTGAAGGTTTATTACTTTGACAGTATATGAGGGAACTATTGGACTTTGACCCCTTGTGAATGATACTTATCTGAGACATATGTGTGGAGGTTTATTACTTTGACAGTATATGAGGGAACTATTGGACTTTGACCCCTTGTGAATGATACTTATCTGAGACATATGTGTGGAGGTTTATTACTTTGACAGTATATGAGGGAACTATTGGACTTTGACCCCTTGTGAATGATACTTATCTGATACAATGTGTGAAGGTTTATTACTTTGACAGTATATGAGGGAGTTATTGGACTTTGACCCCGTGTGAATGATACTTATCTGAGACATATGTGTGGAGGTTTATTACTTTGACAGTATATGAGGGAATTTTGGACTTTGACCCCTTGTGAATGATACTGATCTGAGACCATATGTGTTGAGGCTTATTACTTTGACAGTATATGAGAGAGTTATTGGACTTTGACACCTTGTGAATGATACTTATCTGAGACCATATGTGTGAAGATTTATTACTTTGACAGTATATGAGGGAACTATTGGACTTTGACCCCTTTTGACAGTATACAAAGGAGTTATTGGACTTTGACCCCTTTTGAATGATACTTATCTGAGACATATGTGTGGAGACTTATTTCTTTGACAGTATACAAAGGAGTAATTGGACTTTCACCCCTTGTGAATGATACTTATCTGAGACATACATATGTGTTAAGGTTTATTACTTTGACAGTATATGAGGGAGTTATTGGACTTTGACACCTTGCGAATGATACTTATCTGCGACATATGTGTGGAGGTTTACTACTTTGACAGTATATGAGGGAATTTTGGACTTTGACCCCTTGTGAATGATACTGATCTGAGACCATATGTGTGGAGGTTTATTACTTTGACAGTATATGAGAGAGTTATTGGACTTTGACCCCTTGTGAATGATACTTATCTGAGACATATGTGTGGAGGTTTATTACTTTGACAGTATATGAGGGAACTATTGGACTTTGACCCCTTGTGAATGATACTTATCTGATACATATGTGTGGAGGTTTATTACTTTGACAGTATATGAGAGAGTTATTGGACTTTGACACCTTGTGAATGATACTTATCTGAGACATATGTGTGGAGACTTATTACTTTGACAGTATACAAAGGAGTTATTGGACTTTGACCCCTTGTGAATGATACTTATCTGAGACCATATGTGTGAAGGTTTATTACTTTGACAGTTTATGAGGGAACTATGAGACTTTGACCCCTTGTGAATGATACTGATCTGAGACCATATGTGTGAAGGTTTATTACTTTGGCAGTATATGAGGGAACTATTGGACTTTGACCCCTTGTGAATGATACTGATCTGAGACCATATGTGTGGAGGTTTATTACTTTGGCAGTATATGAGGGAACTATTGGACTTTGACCCCTTGTGAATGATACTTATCTGAGACCATATGTGTGAAGGTTTATCACTTTGACAGTATATGAGGGAGTTATTGGACTTTGACCCCTTGTGAATGATACTGATCTGAGACCATATGTGTGGAGGCTTATTACTTTGACAGTACATGAGGGAGTTAATGGACTTTGACCCCTTGTGAATGATACTTATCTGAGACATATGTGTGGAGACTTATTTCTTTGACAGTATACAAAGGAGTTATTAGACTTTGACCCTTGTGAATGATACTTATCTGAGACATACATATGTGTGAAGGTTTATTACTTTGACAGTTTATGAGGTAGTTAATGGACTTTGACCCCTTGTGAATGATATTTATCTGAGACCATATGTTTTGAGGTTCATTACTTTTTCAGTATATAAAGGAGTTATTGAAAACAGGGAAATCAGCATAACCAATGTAATAAGAAATATAAAAATAAGGAGATGTGGTATGATTGCAAATTAGACAACTATCCACCAAAGTTCAAATGAAGTGGATTTAAGTAATTATAGGCAACCATATGGCCTTCAACAATGACAAAAACCCATTCCATATAGTTGGCTATAAAAGGCCCCAACATGAAAAATGTGAAACAAGTATGACAGACATGAACCAACGACAACCACTGAATTACAGGCTCCTGACTTGGGACAGGCACATCAAGAATGTGGCAGGGTTAAACATGTTTGTGAGCGCTCAACCCTCCCCTAATCTTTGACAGTTGTGTAACAGCATTACATAAGAACAATTTAAAAATCAGTAGCAATTGGCTTAACTCAAAAGATTTGTATGAGGCACAAAAACAACTACTGTAAATTCAGAAATTATTGTGTGCATTTATTATTTAGATTTTGGAAGAATGGACAAAAATGCTAAATTAATTATTGCGAGTTTAGGAAAACCTGCATACAGATATGTGTTAAAGATATCAGAATGTGAGTTCTTATTAATGAGATACTCACCTACTCACATTAATAAAAACCTCACAATAATTTTTGAATTTACAGTAACAACACAATAGAAAAAAGATAAGAAATAAGAGTCGAGTTGCTGGAAGCTCGTTCAAAGCCAATAACAACTAATAGATAAATCATTATCTCCCAGACTAAAGTATCAATCAGTACACATCCAACAGATTTAGTGTAAAGGCATCATAAACAGTCTGAGAAATGCATGATCTTTTCGTATCTTATATTTCAAATCTTTTGAACACTTTCATGTCATACAAAGTATATAATAATACACTGCATTTTGTAATATGTATTTTATTTTTTTATATTTTAGAGGCAAGTGGTTCTGTGAAACTGATGAGTCCACCTATGAACTTAGGCTCTAAATGTGCTGCAAAATCATCACCAAGAAGGAGGTAATGAAGCATTTTTTATAAAATGGAAAGTATCATTTGTTATATTGAAACAAAAAATAAAATAGGAAATAATTTATAATCTGTTTTATATGGATATGTGTATAGCTATTGACATAATAAAACTAACATAGTATTTTGAATGTTTAAACCTTTTATACCAACCTCTATAGGTCAGTTAAAGGGGAACCATTAATGATAAGTTAATGATATTTGGTATGCAGTTGAATAAACATGGGCACATCTTAAATTACATACAGGTGAGACAAATCTCTATGTCAACAGTTTATTTTTACAGGAGTAATGTCCCTTAGAAATGTACCTATAATGGTTTACTTTTATAAATTGTAACTTGAATGGAGAGTTGTCTCATTGGCACTCATACCACATCTTCCTTTATCTATCTATAGCAAATTACATTGTACATGCTCTCACATGCACAATTATTGCCAGATTGTTATGAAATTTATATTTAAAGGTTTGAATCAGCAAGGTTCATCTGACCTAGACCTCATTTTCATGGTTCATTGGTCAAAGTTAAGTTTAATTATGCCCCGCCGTAGCGGAGGGGGCATTAAGTTTTACCCTTGTCCGTCTGTACGTACATGCGTCCTTAAATTGGTTTCCATTCTCTAACTTTAGTTTGCCTCAACCAAATGTAATGAAACTTATCCACAATACTTATTACCACAGGACACAGATTAAGTTTGAATTTTGGTGGCTACACTTTTACCGTGCTAGAGATATGCCCCTTTACAAATGGAAAAATTGCTGAATTTTTCGTTTCCATTCTCTAACTTGAGTTTGCCTCAACCAAATGTTATGAAACTGATACACAATGCTTATTACCACAAAATACAGATCAAGTTTGAATTTTGGTGGCGTCACTTTTACTGTTCTAGAGTTATACCCTTTTACAAATGGAAAAATTGCTGAATTTTTTGTTTCCGTTCTCTAACTTGAATTCCACTCAACCATATTTGGTGCATTGAATGATTGTAAGGTGTACATGTCTGTCTGGCTTGGTTTATCTGACCTTTATGACATTGTCTTGGATTGTTGATAATGTTAAGTGTATGTAATACTTTATCTTTAAGACAAAAAATCTATCATGGTCAGTAAAGCAGGTTAGACATTCAGTGTGTGCACTCTTGTTTAAACAGAAATGATAAAAGTGCAACAATAGATAAATAATGCTAAATAAAGCATGCAAATATTTAATAAGCAATAGCATGCATAGATGTGATTAGAATAAAGAAGTTTGTGTGATTAAATTTGGACCAAACTCCCAGGTTTTAAGATAATGATTTTATTTAAATATTTTGTAAATAAATCTAAAGAATTCCATTATCAATTTTATTTATACTTATAATATTCTTAAATTAGAAGAAATACATAATTTAGATTTAAAAAAAAATAGTCCAGGAATTAATTTATAAATGCATATCTTCAAAAAAAATTCATGCAAATTTAAAAAGTCCCACCTGCTATTTCACATTAAGATTTTAAAAGGGTAGTGTACTAGTTTTGGTACAAGTTATATCAAAATTATTGAAATCTTCATCAGATCTAACTAAAAAAATGGGCAATTTTATGTTCAAGGGGTCTTTAATTCAAATTGACATCTTCAGAAGTACTGTAATTCAGAATTTACTGCATATGAATATAAAAATAAAGAGATGTGGTATGACTGCCAATGAGACAACTATCCATCAAAGTTCGAATGAAGTGGATGTAAGCAACTATAGGCAACCGTCCGGCCTTCAACAATGAGAAAAAACTGTACCGTATAGTGGGCATGCATTTATTATTGGGATTTTTTAGAATGCTAGTTCTTATTATTATGATACTGCATTTGCTTTAATACAAACCTCATAATAATTTCTTAATCTGCTTTACTCATTTCTACCCTTTTCAATTGGGCCAAATCACTACTTTGCCTTCATTTGAGGGTATGTATATAGTCTTTGGCCTGCTAGGTAATCCGTTTCAGATATTTTATGAATAAAGTATTGTTTAAAATACTACTTTTCCTTCATGACCCAATATTTTTTAAAGCGTGATTTTATCCCCTTACTTGGTATTTCATGCATAAAACATAAATAATAATATAGAAAGGTGTATTGTAAATAGACATTTTCGAAAAGTCATCTACACGGACACTTATACCGACACCGAATCATACACTGACTAAAAAAATGGAGGGACTGTATCAAAATGTCAAAATATACTGAATGAATAACCTCGTAAAACTACGTTTGACTCAGCAGAGGTAAAAAACATGTAAATTCATTATTCTGTACTTAGTTTTATATATTTTTTAATTCGGAATCTGAGAATGAAACACTAAGTGCTCTCGTTAGTTTTGGAATTCCTTTAGTGATGAATTTGTGATATTCCAACTAATTGTCGAATCATACTGATTGGTCTTTTTAAAGCAGTAATTGGCATCGCAAGTAGTTTTTAGGGGAAAAATAACAAAAATGGGCAATAATCTTATCAAAAGAGAAAATCGGGTACAACTTTTTATGTTCAAACGTGTACCCATGGTTTGACTTGTTTGTCCAGAAAAATTATAAAGCAAAAATATTTTACATCATCTCCCTTTAGATTCCTTATTTGTATATATTTAGGCTACATTTTGATATAATAACATTACAAATTCACAGTACCAAAACATGAAATATATGGGTCATGTGAAATATCCTTCTTTTTGTGCCAAAACAACTGAGTAGGTGTGTTTGAAAAACAAAAGAAAAGCTTCATGCTACTTCAAATGTTTAAACAGGATATATATTTCTTACTTGATATTTTTTCTACTTTTGTTCATTCATTTTTCAGTGAAAAATTTAGGCATATTAATTATTTTTTTCATGAAATGTATAAAAAAAAAAGTCGGACACACCGTTCACTAACTTCCCCCTGAATTTATACTAAAAGTACTTGACTTTGCGATCATTAAAATGCATCACTTAAAAAAAAATATTTGTGTATGTGTTATCTAGGTCATTTAGTCTTCAAACTTTGCAAATGTTTATTCAGCCCTTCTACAAAATACTTAATACATAGAATTTTTTTATTGTTTTTTTTACTTTCGAAAATTCCCCCTGACAACCAATCAGTTTTAATTGATGAAATGCCTAAAAGTACATTTACATGATGCCTTATAGCCTAGTAGATACATTTGTCTTTTAAAATTCAACTGTCATGTAAGGATCATAATTATGACATATGGATAAATTAATTGGTTTTCAAGAGCTAAATTAACAGCTTGTCATCCCTACAATGGCTACCATTTTCACAATTGTAAAAAAAAATGAAGAGATAATTTTGACAATGTAGAATCCTGGCTTTCTGTGTAAAGATCTATTGATTTACACAAAGCCTCCCCCCTTTTTTTTACAAAGTATAATATGAAGATCGGTCGATTATCAGTTCTCAAAACAGAGCCAATAGATTAAAAAATCATTGAAAAAAACAAATTGTATACAGTATTTAAAATGCAAATTAGATAAATATTTTATAAATGCTCGTGGTACACTTTGAAATGACCCTTCTCAAAAAGGTTACCTGTCGTCCTAGGCATAGGGAAAAAACAAGGGTTTCCTGGTGAATGAACAATTTAAAAGCAGTGTAAGGGAGGTAATCCAAAAACAAAATTGTACAATTTTGTACAATGTTGGATTACCTCCCTTACACTGCTTTTAAATAATCTGTTTCAGACTTTATGATGTATTTTAATTGGTAATTATGGTTGCAAACTCCATTGGAAATTTGTATTGAGATTATGACTATATCTTGAGGGAAAGAATTTTATTTTGGAAAAGGGGGGGGGGGGGAGGGGGGTAAAAAAGAAATTGTGGGGGGCAATTTTTTTTTTCATTTCAAATTTCCGAAATTAAAAGAAAATTTCTTCCAAAAAGGGGGGGGGTAAAAAAAAAAATTTTTTTTTGGGGGGGGGGGGCAATACGCAACAGCATAGTGTATTTCACAAAAGCAAAAAATTGAATATAAATTCAAATCATATAACCAATTCTAAGTTCTTTGACTCAGGGCTTCCAAAATTATTTTTAGCCAGCCGGACATTTTATATATTATCCCGATTTTAATCCCTTAAGACTAAATAAAGAAAAGGCAATTATGGTAATCAGTTGCCGAGTTGGCCATCCCAATGATTGACATTAAAAAAAAAAGAATATTAAACTTTCTTTGATTCAAATTCGAAGTTCTGACGTAAACTGTTAATTTGGCAGTGCATCATTCGAAGTGTGCAACATCACCGTACTTATATCTGCCTTAGACTTTTTATTTGTACAAAATAACGTTGTCAAAAACTTTACTTTCGTTTTTAAATCTACCGGATGTTATCTTGACAATGGTAAAACACGGACCAGAGACGGATACGTAAATTCCGTGTACGTTTGCAAAGCATGAATGAGTGTATAAGTAGCTCATTCTACGTTATTTCTTCAAGAAAATATTCGAAATAAACGTGAGATAAAGGTATCAATGACAATTGAAGCATTTTTTGAAGAAATTAGGATGCATAATTAAATTTCACACCTGCGCACATGCGCACACGTGTACTAGTTCAAACAGAGACATGTCTCTGGTTCAAACAACGTGGTTATGACGATTTTTCATTTTCACCTTTTTAATTTTTTCATCAAATCATATTTGTAAATGTATTTCTGATAATTTAAATCTTTTTAACTAAATTGATTAGATGCAAATAGTGAAATGTAAGAAAATAACTTTGAATAGACCGATCAATGTCCGGTTCAAAATAGTTTACCTGTCACCTGAACAGGTCAATTTCAGCTGTTCGACAACTAATTAGCCTTGATTAAAATGAGAAGGTATTAAAGTAGGGATTGTTTTGATAGTACTTAATGATCATGTCACTTTTATGACCGGAAATGTGTGGCTGTTAAAGGCAAAAGGTTGGGTCAAAAAGATCCTGCCCAGCCGGACTTTTACCGGACATTATACAAATGTCCGGAATATATGACCGTTTTGGAAGCCTTGCTTTGACTACAGTTATTCGGTGTCAGAAACCTATTATGTGTCAAATATTTAATTACAATCCAAATTCAGACCTGTATCAAGCGCGAATATGGTGTCCATTTTCACCCCAACTGTTCAGGGTTGGACCTCTGCAGTCGTATCCAGCTGCGCTCAGCGAAACATTTTATTAACAAAATATGCTGTTACGACATACAACTTGTTATAAAGGCATTTTTTCAATCAAGCTGATGATCTATTAAAAGCAATATCAAGATTTAAAATTTTTTTGAGTATCTCCTCATCCTTGAATGTATGTAGTGATAAACTGATGATCACATCCTAGCATTGGTAATATTGCTTCATTTTTGTGAATATTTCAATTGCCCAACCTTTTATGTCAACATTTATACATTTTATCTTTAAAGATCTTCTAGTAATGAGTTTGTTTGTGACAGCATGGATACATATGAAGAATCAGATGAAGAGTGTGCTATGTCATGTGTCAGTAATAATTATGTAGACATGTCACCAGGAGGCAATGAAAGAACCCAAAGAATACTATCAGGAGACAAGTCGACAAAAAGTGAAAAAACAAAATCATCAGGAGACAAAATGATGATCATTGTGTCACTGCAAAACTTTGATGGTTCCTGGTCGCAATCATCTGAGCTGCAATCCGTGCTTAATGTTAGTCAAACGGAACTGAAAGCTAAATACCAGGTAAGGACAGGCCTGTCTGTTTTAAAGTTGAGGTAATATAAAATTAAAAACACGAAGATTTTTATCAATGCCATTACAGTAAATGTATTTGTGACGTCACAGAATAGTCTGTTCTATGCGTTTTTTGTGAAAATATACAGATTTTGCTAATTTTTCAGATAGTTTTTGGACCCACAAATATAAAGCACACGCAAGTACCAACTGAATAATTCACCACAATGGTTGACTATAGAAACTACATCTTTCATGTAAAATATGATTGTGGTACTTGCATGTGCTCAATATTTCTCACTAACAAATATGGGTGAAAATTTGCTATTTTTTTCTTTTTTGTAGAAAAATCTGAATTATGCTATCTTTGGACTGAAAAATCTCAGTGAATAACCATGTCAAAGATATTACAGTTTAAAATTTACAAATACTTAACAACTAATCTTTAAACTGATTTTCTAACACCTCATATTTCTAGGACAAAAGAGCCCTTAGCACATCGGCTTTGTCAACCAAAATTATTATATGAATGGCTCATAAAGAGAAGATTTACTTTCCCATTATCTATTGCCTTTGTGATAGAATGATATGGCAAAGGGTCCCATAATAGAATGAAATGGCAAAGGGTCCCATAATAGAATGAAATGGCAAAGGGTCCCATAATACATTTAGAATGAAATGGAAAAGGGTCCCATAATAGAATGAAATGGCAAAGGGTCCCATAATAGAATGAAATGGCAAAGGGTCCCATAATAGAATGAAATGGCAAAGGGTCCCATAATACATTTAGAATGAAATGGAAAAGGGTCCCATAATAGAATGAAATGGAAAAGGGTCCCATAATAGAATGAAATGGCAAAGGGTCCTATAATAGAATGAAATGACAAAGGGTCCCATAATAGAATGAAATGGCAAAGGGTCCCATAATAGAATGAAATGGCAAAGGGTCCCATAATAGAATGAAATGGCAAAGGGTCCCATACTAGAATGAAATGGCAAAGGGTCCCATACTAGAATGAAATGGCAAAGGGTCCCATAATAGAATGAAATGGCAAAGGGTCCCATAATAGAATGAAATGGCAAAGGGTCCCATAATACATTTAGAATGAAATGGAAAAGGGTCCCATAATAGAATGAAATGGCAAAGGGTCCCATAATAGAATGAAATGGCAAAGGGTCCCATAATAGAATGAAATGGCAAAGGGTCCCATACTAGAATGAAATGGCAAAGGGTCCCATACTAGAATGAAATGGCAAAGGGTCCCATAATAGAATGAAATGGCAAAGGGTCCCATAATACATTTAGAATGAAATGGAAAAGGGTCCCATAATAGAATGAAATGGCAAAGGGTCCCATAATAGAATGAAATGGCAAAGGGTCCCATAATAGTATGAAATGGCAAAGGGTCCCATAATAGAATGAAATGACAAAGGGTCCCATAATAGAATGAAATGTAAAAGGGTCCCATAATAGAATGAAATGGCAAAGGGTCCCATAATAGAATGAAATGGCAAAGGGTCCCATAATAGAATGAAATGGCGAAGGGTCCCATAATAGAATGAAATGGCAAAGGGTCCCTTTATACATTTAGAATGAAATGGAAAAGGGTCCCATACTAGAATGAAATGGCAAAGGGTCCCATAATAGAATGAAATGGCAAAGGGTCCCATAATACATTTAGAATGAAATGGAAAAGGGTCCCATACTAGAATGAAATGGCAAAGGGTCCCATACTAGAATGAAATGACAAAGGGTCCCATAATAGAATGAAATGGCAAAGGGTCCCATAATAGAATGAAATGGCAAAGGGTCCCATAATAAAATGAAATGGCAAAGGGTCCCATAATAGAATGAAATGGCAAAGGATACCATAATAGAATGAAATGGCAAAGGGTCCCATAATACATTTAGAATGAAATGGAAAAGGGTCCCATACTAGAATGAAATGGCAAAGGGTCCCATACTAGAATGAAATGACAAAGGGTCCCATAATAGAATGAAATGGCAAAGGGTCCCATAATAGAATGAAATGGCAAAGGGTCCCATGATAGAATGAAATGGCAAAGGGTCCCATAATAGAATGAAATGGCAAAGGGTCCCATAATAGAATGAAATGGCAAAGGGTCCCATAATACATTAAGAATGAAATGGAAAAGGGTCCCATACTAGAATGAAATGGCAAAGGGTCCCATACTAGAATGAAATGACAAAGGTTCCCATAATAGAATGAAATGGCAAAGGGTCCCATAATAGAATGAAATGGCAAAGGGTCCCATAATAGAATGAAATGGCAAAGGGTTCCATAATAGAATGAAATGGCAAAGGGTCCCATAAGATAGAGTTAAGAAGCTTAAGGTTTTGGTCAAGTGTAACAGGAAATCTTTACTCAGATCTTTAAAATATTCTCTTCTGTCCCAGAACACAAAACAGCTCTCTAAAGAGATTGTACAGTTTTAAGGAAAGTGGACTTAAATGTGAGATGGACCCAGGATTTGCCAAGATGGATTTGTTAAAACAAAAAATTCTTCTTCATAATTACATATCTTATCAGTACATAAATAAATATACAGGAATAAACTTTTCCATAGGGAAATAGTCATTATTCCAAAATTTCTTTCTTAAACTATCAGGGCCAGTTGTTATAAAGTTTATTGTTGATAAAGAAATTAGAGAGAGAGAAAGTCCGTTTTTGGTCCCTTTTTGTTTTTAGTGTTTCATTTATTCATACATCCTTGGCTTTCACATTGTTTGGTTAAATTATTCCTGATGAAGGTAAATCCAGAAAAGCTCTTTGGACGTTATTTTGAATTTATAGCAATAGGTTGATACCGCCGCTGGTGATTTACTTGTCATTGAGGTTCTTAATCTCAGTAGATTGTGCTTCATGAATGACAGGATTTATAACATATCTTAAATACTACTTTCATAAGTATAAAGCAATAAAGGTTCTAAATCCCTCAGGCAAAGTTGACCTTACGTCGATTTAGCTATTGTTTTGTCTCTTTTTGTCAATTAGCTCTTCAAGTATTCAAGTATTCATACATCCTTGGCATCCTTGGCTTTCAAATTTGTGGGTTTGAGCATAGGTATATCTAGAAAAGCACTTCAGAAGTACCCAACTTTAAAGTGTTATTGTCACATTATATTCGAAAGAAAACTCAATGCCAACATACTTGCTAACTGAACCTTTATTGCTAGATTAACTGTCTTGAACACTGGACTTGCATAAAAGCAAGAGCAAGTTGTTCATGACTTATCTAAGGAAAGGATCTGTTACTATTAAGATAATCCTTCACTGAGCAAATCACGAAATCTGATGAAGTCATTTTCTTAAAAGATGGAGAATTTCCAATAAATAACATATTATTTCAAAAATGTCTGAAATTACAGTAATAGCATAGAAAAAAACCTTTTCAGATTTCCTAAATTACTCACTTATAGATGTCCATCTTCTCCATTTACAGATGATCCTTTTAAGGAGTTGAACCAAATAAGGCAAATAAAGGCTGAAACCTTCTATGATCTTCTTGGTCATTAGAAAAAAAAACATGTCCTTCTGATTCGTCTATAGAATTAAAGACATTGGTTTTAGACCCACTGTTTTCTTTCTATGATAAACTAGGGAGAATATAACAACTCGAAGAATATGATTCAAGTTTGAACACATTTTCATATCCTCACAAGTGGATTCCTCAAAAAGGTTAATACATTGATTTGAATGGGATCAAACTGAAGGTTGACTCAGAGTCATCAGATAACATAATTGAGAAGAAAGTTTAATTATTTATTAAATTTTTTTTTAAACTATCTAGAAATAGGAAAACCAACACTCCTTATCCGTAAAATGGTTCTACTAGTGACAACATTACTTACCTCTCTGATGCAAATAAGCAGCTAACTCCAAAGACTGTAAATAGTCATTTAACTCCTTTTTTATGAGGATGGCTATTGGATGTGTCTATTGTTCTTTTTTGTTTAAGTTTATGTAAATTACATCCTCTATATTTAATGTAAATCAAGGTTTTCATTGTAATAAATCTGAATACATTTAACTATTTCAGGGTAATATTTGGTGTACAGCATTAGTTGTTGCTTTCCTAGAGAAAAATTTCAGTAAACGTAAATCTGAATGGGAAATGATTTATAACAAGGCAATAAAATGGCTAACTTCACAAGACAGAGAAGGGAAAAGTGTCACTCAAATCATAGAGGAAGGCAATGACATTATAAAAAACATATAAAATATACAGATTATTTGACCCTTGTTTTATTAATTTTGTATTTACATTGTGTCATAGATCAAATTTATTCGTTCAGTGTATGTTCACTTGTTTTTGTTAATATGTCTTTTGATTGAGTTAAGCCATTTCAATTGACATTTTATATAGTGTCTCTATGTTGTGATGTTACACTATTGTTTCAGGTAGGGTGAAGGTTGGCGCATATTAAAACGTTTAAACCGGCTGCATTTCTTTGCACCTGTCCTAAGTCAGGAACCTGATGTTCAGTGATTTGTTGATTTGGTTCATAAGTGTTTCTTGTTTCTCGTTTTTTATATAGATTAGACCATTGGTTTTCCTGTTTGAATGGTTTTGCACAAGTCAATTTTGGGGCCCTTTATAGCTTGCTGTTTGGTGTGAGCCAAGGCTCCGTGTAAAGGCCGTACTTTGACCTATAATGGTTTACTTTTAAAAATTGTGACTTGGATGGAGAGTTGTCTCATTGGAACTCATACCACATCTTCTTATATCTATTAAGATTTAACTTATATAAAACCTCTTTGTTAACTGTATCATCTTTTTCTGTTCATCCCTAGGAGGGAGTTCATTGTATTTGTTATAAAATTCCTTTGCAATATATTTTATATATGTGTATATGTATATTTTATTTATATTTTTTACTATCATTTTTTAGGATAAATTGTAAGTCCAATTCCCAATATAGATTCTTACAATGGAACTAATTTGTTTTTTTAATTTTATATGAATCATTGTATTTGTGATATTAAACATGCAAATTAAGGCAACTATAGTTTATTGATGTTCAATAAAGGCAACAGTAGTTAACCACTGTTTAATAGTCATAAATCGATTAAGCGAAAACAAATCCGGGTTACAAACTAAAACCAAGGGAAACACATCAACTATAAGAGAAAAACAACGGAACAACAGAAACACTGAACTGCAACAAAAACAAACGCCAACACACATAGAAACGGACTATTTGATAACAACTGCCATATTCCTGACTTGGTACAGGACATTTTAAGAAAAATGGTGGGTTGAACCAAGTTTTCAAATCAGATATGAATAGAATTCTGATATAATTCAGGAACCACACAATAACCAATTAATTGAATCAAATAGTATTTATTTCTTATTTTCTTATCATTCCATATTTTTTGCTTGATTGATATTTCCAAAACAGAATTGCTCTTACCAGGACCACAGGGTAGGGAGAGGATGGTACTTATACTTAAACGAATATTAGCTGATTAATTTGATTTACAATAGGTAACTCAGTCCTGACAAGCAGATGTAATATACTCTTTCATGTTCAGAGATACTGTCATATTATATTGAATGTAATTGTTTTAAACCTGAACATCTGGTTATTACAATGATTGTGGATAGAAATTTTCCAACTATATTTCATTTGAATTTCAGCTCTTTTGAGCCATTATAATTCTACTCATAAATGTTATGAAAATTGAAAAGCAGATTTTCTTAATATTTTATTTGATATTAAAATCAGGTTTACAATAAAAAAAAACATCTATTGTTTTATGGTATATCATTTGCTGCACACGGTGGACTTAATGATACAAAAAAAAAATGGATGATCATACAAATGTCAATATTTCTGTTAGAGTAATCAGTATTTATACACAAATCAATAGTTATGTTGATTGGTGATTATACACATTAACAGGCTCCAGATCAAATATAACTTTCATGGACCACATAGAAGCCAAGAAAATGTTGATGGAAATTTTCCTTGTACAATGAGTGCTCTAAAAAACAATTGCTTACACTCTACAACCCAACATTATAAAGCTGTAAACCAAATAAAGAATCATTCCCTTTCATATCGGTTCAACCCACCATTTTTATGCCCCCGCTGTAGCAGAGGGGGCATTAAGTTTTACCCTTGTCCGTCTGTACGTACGTACGTCCATACGTCCCAAAGTTAGTTTCCGTTCTCTAACTTTAGTTTGCCTCAACCAAATGTTATGAAACTTATACACAATGCTTATTATCACAAAACACAGATCAGGTTTGAATTTTGGTGGCGTCACTGTAACCGCTGTTGAGTTATGCCCTTTTATAAACTTAAAAAACTGCTGAATTTTTTCGTTTTCGTTCTCTAACTTTAGTTTACCTCGACCAAATGTTATGAAACTTATACACAATGCTTATTACCACACAATACAGATCAAATTCGAAATTGGGTGGCGTCACTTTTACCGTTCTTGAGTTATGCCCCTTTATAAACTTAAAAACTGCTGAATTTTTCGTTTCCGTTCTCTAACTTTAGTTTACCTCAACCAAATGTTATGAAACTTGTACACAATGCTAATTACTACAAAGTACAGATCAAGTTTGAATTTTGGTGGTGTCACTTTTATTATTCTAGAGTTATGCCTGTTTACAAATGGAAAAATTGCTTAATTTTTCGTTTCTGTTCTCTAACTTAAGTTAGCCTCAACCAAATGTTATGAGACTTATACACAATACTTATTACCACAAAACTCAGATCAAGTACAAATTTGGGTAGCGTCACTTTTACTGTTCTTCAGTTATGTCCCTTTACAACTTTATATGATATGCAGGTGGGGGCATTATCTGTGTCCCATGGACACATTCCCCATTTATTTCTTAAAATGTCCTTTATCAAGTCAGGAATATGGCAGTTGTTATCAAATAGTTCGTTTCTATGTGTGTTGGCGTTTGTTTTTGTTGCACTTCGATGTTCCTGTTGTTCATTTGTTTTCCTCTTATAGTTGATGTGTTACCCTCGGTTTTGGTTTGTAACCCGGATTTGTTTTCTTTCAATCGATTTATGACTTTTGAACACCGGTATACTACTGTTGCCTTTATATATGCCAAGAAATCATAGACGAAATTTTTCTTCCTAAGGTCACACAGTTTGAATGAATGATGGAGTCGATTGGTAAATAGACCCACTTTCTCAGTTTATGACAAAGGTGAACACACCATTGTCATGAATTTACATTTCAAAACACATGAATGCATACCTTTTCAATCAAGGTTTATTGTAGAATTTTTGTTTAATCTTTTGTTTATCTTTACTGTAAACATCGGAATTAAATGTTAGGCTTTGTTGTCCTATGTTTCAATGACCAAAATTAGTTTTTATATTTAAAAATATCTTTGATGGATTATACCATGAAGTCGTTATACCTCCATTATTATACCATAGAGACAGTATACCTCCATTTATATACCATGGAGACATTACATTACTTGGATGTGTAATGCTGTGAATCCAATATAAAGCTAACTAAGCCATGACTTTATAGCAGAAATGTTTCGCATATACATGACCTTCAAATAAATGCATATATAAAGCATTAAATTTTCATTTTGATAAGCCATAAGCTCTGCAATCAGGTAATCAAATTCATTGATTGTCGAAATTTATATAAAATTTTGAAGGGAAATAATTAATCAGTCTGACCGCATAAGCTTTCACTGTTTAGAACGTAGACATCAAAATTATAGGGCAGATGTTTAGAACGACCTATTCTTTAGATTGTAATAAAATGGAATAAAAATCAGCATAAAAAAAGGTTGGACCCCTTCAATATCCTCGTGTGGTTGGTTTTATTTTATTGACAAATTATTTATTATATGTGGTGAACATGGTTTTCAACAAGTAGTCTGCATGCCTATTTGAACCAACTGAGCTCCTTTTATACCCGACGTGTACTCTTATTCATTTGGGGCACTCTGGCATAATTTAACTCTTTATTAATCGGTAATCAGTCTAGTCAGAAATTAGTTCTCATTCAAAACCTAAAAGTCGAGAGAAACTGACTTCGCCATGGCAAAATCAGAAAAATGACGAAAAGACAAACAAGTTCACAAAACACTTCATAGAGAATAACAGACTCAGCAACAGTAATCCCACCAAAAATTGAGGAAATAAAGGTAGGCAGATCCTGCTTCACTACTGTAACCCGTTGTGTTGTTCATGTTAAGTACAAATTTGGTGATGTCACAGAGGTACTTACAGCCCTTCAATACTAGTGGGTGTAAGAATACATTTTCAGGAGTATCATAAATTCCACCAAAGCCCCCGCTAATAATGCAATGTTAAAAATATCGCTAAAATGACAACTATACGCGACAGGAATACAGTACAAACAAACACAATAACACTAAGCACAGAGAAATACATAAATAAATAATATAATAGAACATTACAACATGTAAACCGCAGAATGACAACGGACACCTCCCATGAATTTACGACAGCACACCAGGATACCACAAACAAAATATAGACTGCGCGTCACATGAATGTACAACGTCACAAAAAGTGACGGTTTTTTTATGTGACGTTTAAATTATCACAGGTAAATTTCTAAAAATGTAAACGATTTGTTTTATTTATAGACATGTACCAGAATATTAAATTGAGATTTAGTTTGTAATGGTGTGATTTTATGTATTTTCTAACCATGACAAGAATATTGAAATGGAATTGTGTTTGTAATGGTGTTATTATTTGTATTTTCTAACCATGTCGGTTTTTCTTCTTAATCAAAACTGTGTCTATACAAAAAAATAATGTGCATATAGTTGCTTTAAACCTTAAAATCATATAAATGAACTTAACTTTTAAGAAAAACTGCCTACCGATGAAATAATGGAAATAACGCCTTTGAAATTTGGTTCGTCCGGAGGCTTTTCTGCATTAAACGTCATCAGGAATGCTCATTCCAAGATAATTGAAAGCCAACGATGTATAAATACTTGAAACACTTTAGGAGCTATATGACCCACAAAAAAGTTTTCAAATATACTATTCAAATTTATTTCCGGGAGTTGGAATCTTAATTTCTTGATAATTTCCAAAACCCAACAATTTGTAAGCCTTGAATTATTAAATATTTGAGGAGCTATATGATTAAACAAAACAAAAAAATATAACGAAATCCAAGTAAGTCACCTTTGTCTGAATTAGTTTCTGAATGATTTCTAAAACGAATAAATTAATTGTGTACAGAAGAAGATAACTCCAATTCAAAAACATTGTCTAAATCTGTTTATTGCTAAACATGCTTAATCGAATAAATTCGCTTATAGGTCTATTGATATTTGGTATTTGCAGTCGTTATGAGAAGTACAAGGTATATGTTTTCTGATTAATGCCATAATGCCATGACCTCAATTTTACATAGAAATGGACATGTTGAAATTATGAAGAATTTGTAACATTAAAATTATTTCAAATGAGGAGTTATTTCGTATTGACAAAACTTCATTTTCACATTTAAGTAATCAGGTTCAGTTTTAAGTTTACGGAACATTTCTCCGTTACCATACACGAAATGATAATGGCATTTGAAATATGGACTACTTGTATATACTTGTACGCTATTTGGTTAGATAGAAGTTCGAGGATGTTTGTTCCTCAGTAACTATACATAATAAGTCATCAGTTATGTTTGTAACAATGCATACATGTCATTTTTATAAGTAGTTTAGTGTCATGAAATATGTATGACACCTTTATTTAAAAAGACTACCGGGGACCACTCGAATTAACTAAGATATGTTCTTAGTCTTTCAATGACAATAACAACTAATATAAGGTTAGGTCAGGGGTATGCACAATATAACAGATCAGAATTTTATTGGTTTATAATCAAACGTTTTACATTAACCTATAAACTTAACACGATGACATAAAGCAATTATTATTATTTTTTTTTTTTTTGATAATTTGTTATATCAGAGACAAAGAAGGGAATGTTGTTTACCTTTATAATAGTGTAAATTGGAATGCTTTCACTGTCGTCATATTTTGGTCTATTTGGCAT